TTGACTAGTGATTTCATAAATACGACCATGATGTGAAGATTGGTCTTTAATTTCTAAAGTTGGGCCTTTGGCCTTTTCTCGAATGAAAAGGAATAAAATGGAGCCACGCGCCACTTGTTCCCTTCGTCTAGAAGCCTCCTGCGCTGCCCGGCGATGTGTCGCCACCAGGCTCCAACTGTCCGACGCCTACATCACGAGCGCCAAGCAGCCAACTTTTCCAAGCACGAACATTCTCCCCTCCTCCACCGCTGCCAAGAACCTCCGCGCCAACCGCCACCAAACCGCCCTCCCTACCCAAGCCATGGACATCGGCTCGGTGCCTTCCCCGGCCGACGCCGCCCTCCGCGGCCGCCATGCCGCCGGACGCCACGCTGGGGCGCCACCTCGCCCGGCGCCTGGCCGAGGTCGGCGCCCACGACGTCTTCACCGTGCCGGGGGACTTCAACCTGACGCTCCTCGACGAGCTCGAGGCGGAGCAGCCGTCCGGCGGCGGGGTGCGGCTCGTCGGGTGCTGCAACGAGCTAAGCGCCGCCTACGCCGCCGACGGCTACGCCCGCGCGCGCGCCGGCGGGGTCGGCGCCTGCGCGGTCACCTTCACCGTCGGCGGGCTCAGCGCCATCAACGCCGTCGCCGGCGCCTTCAGCGAGAACCTCCCCGTCATCTGCATCGTCGGGGGGCCCAACAGCAACGACTACGGCAGCAACCGGATCCTGCACCACACCATCGGCATCCCCGATTTCACGCAGGAGCTCCGCTGCTTCCAGAACGTCACCTGTTATCAGGTAGTACGTCTCTGTTGTTCAGTTTTAATGTCGTTCCTCAAGACCAAATGCTCTGATTTTATTAGGGATTTTGGCACTGCTTAGATTTTAGGGGAAAGTTTATTTTAGTTTCAGTTTGGTCGATGGAGTGGATCTGCGGTCTAATTCACAATTCCCTTTTCTGACATGTTCAGTTTGTGATATTTTCTAATTGTTCCTCCATGTCCACTAGTCTGGGTTCAGGGGTTTAGTTGATTGTCAGGAAATAGCTTTGCTGCAGTTCTAGCACTGTCTGTCTAAACAGTTGATTCTAATGTTCAATCCAACAGTATTATCATACAATTTGCAATCTTGAGACATAATTTTTTTGCTGTATTGACACTAAACCTTTACCTTCCGCAGATGATATGTATGCTTAGAATTGTGAATTTATTTTCAAAAGTGGAAAGGCAAGATATCTATATGAGCATTGCAAAAAAAAAAATCTATGATATGACCTCATTTCATAAATTGCAGGCAGTGGTGAACAACTTAGAGGATGCACATGAACAGATTGATACTGCCATTTGCACTGCACTGAAGGAGAGCAAGCCTGTTTACATCAGCATCAGCTGCAACCTCCCCTCGATCCCGCATCCAACCTTTAGCCGCCATCCTGTCCCTTTCTTTCTCTCCCCAAGGTAAGTTGGCATGCTCCCTGTACACGAATAACAATAATGAGATGGCAGTTGGCTTGGTATTATTGATGCTGATGAACTGCTCATTGGTCAGACTGTCTAACCAGATGAACCTGGAAGCAGCAGTGGAGACTGCTGCGGCTTTTTTGAACAAATCAGTCAAGCCGGTCCTTGTTGGCGGACCGAAGATGAGGGTGGCCAAAGCAAGCAAGGCCTTCGTAGAGCTGGCTGATGCATGCGGTTATCCGGTTGCAGTGATGCCTTCTGCAAAGGGACTTGTGCCAGAGCACCATTCTAGATTTATCGGCACATACTGGGGTGCTGTGAGCACCCCATTCTGTGCTGAGATTGTGGAGTCAGCTGATTCCTATTTGTTTGCTGGCCCGATATTTAACGACTACAGCTCGGTTGGGTACTCGCTTCTCCTCAAGAAGGAGAAGGCCATCATTGTCCAGCTGGACCGAGTGGTGATTGGGAATGGGCCTGCATTTGGGTGTGTTTTGATGAAGGACTTCCTGCATGCGCTTGCAACCCGGCTGAAGAAGAACACAGCTGCCTACGACAACTACAGTCGTATTTTTGTGCCTCAGGGCGAACCCCTTTCCTCTGAGCCTGGAGAGCCTTTGAGAGTGAATGTACTTTTCAAGCATATTCAGAAAATGTTGTCTGGCAACTCAGCTGTTATAGCAGAGACCGGGGACTCATGGTTTAACTGCCAGAAGCTGAAACTACCAGAAGGCTGTGGGTAAGCTCCCCTGAAATATTTCAGAGCTCAAACTTCTGTCTGAGTTTTTTTAAACTTCCTGTATTGGTTGTTGGTCACATCCGTTCTTTTAGTATTTGTAATCTAGGTATAGTTGGATTATATCGAGATATTTTGTTCTGATATTTTTGCAAATATATTATTTATCCGGGAGAATTTGATAAAAATGCCTCATGGTAGTTTGAACTTCGATAATATATCCCATGATGTGTCACCGATTAGTGAGGTCATATTATCAGGTGGTTTGATGTAAGAGTCTCAAAAATAAACGATAGAAGTCTAGACTAATTTTACATTGGTAACAACCGACAAGACTTGTTTGTGTCAGTAAGTAGGATGTATACTGTTCACTTTATGTTTAATTAAACACCATTTTCTTTTGGCAGGTATGAATTTCAGATGCAATATGGATCAATTGGTTGGTCTGTGGGTGCAACTCTGGGATATGCGCAGGCTGCTAAGGACAAGCGAGTCATTTCCTTCATTGGAGATGGCAGCTTTCAGGTTCCAAAAAAAATTCAGAATCACCAAATGTTCGATCTTATACTATTAAATTTAAAGCTTATCAAAATATGCGGCTAAGAAAGATTTAATTGGGCTGGTATATAGGTGACGGCACAAGAAGTGTCGACGATGCTCCGGTGGGAACAGAACAACATCATCTTTCTCATAAACAACGGGGGTTACACCATTGAGGTGGAGATCCATGACGGCCCTTACAACATCATCAAGAATTGGAACTACACCGGCGTGGTGGAAGCATTCCATAATGGCGAGGGCAAGTGCTATACGGCCAAGGTTGGTGTTACAGTTGTAATCTATATTTATTTATATAGCTAAAAAAATTTAGAAAGGTTTTTTGAAACTGTCACCCGGGGGAAAGACTCCCCACCTGAATATATTTCAAAATATTTAAGAAGTACTGCATTGCAATGAAATTTCACCCTTTTGTCTGTAGGTCCGAACAGAGGAGGAACTGAAGAAGGCAATTGAGGCATCCCTAGGACCCAACAAGGACAGCCTGTGCTTTATAGAGGTAATTGTGCACAAGGATGACACTAGTAAGGAGCTTCTTGAGTGGGGTTCTAGGGTTTCCGCCGCGAATAGCCGCCCACCAAATCCCCAGTGAACGCATCAGGTCTCCAAAGATCCTCATCCAGCTTAATGATGTCATGTGGAAGTTCTGAATAGATGTTACTGATCTTCAAATAAATGATCCATTTGAGTCCACTGCCGTTGCAAGGGCTCACGGTTACTGTACATAGATGGTCTCAGTTCAGGAACCTGTGCTTGTATATTACTTCAATAAATCTGAAATCGATGTCGTAGCCAGCTAAAGACGCCCTTGATTTTGGCATCTTTCTTGATTTTGACAACAGTTTCAGGCCTGTTGTGTTTCTCAAAAACATTAGTGAGACGAAACAAATTGCGTTTCTAGAATGCGAAGAAGATTCAATTATGTGGTGAAGTTTACTGAATGTCAAAACAAATTGCAATGAAAACTCAATGATGCACTCCCAGGTGAAAACAATTTCTGAATGTCAAAATATTACAGAAAGAACACTGTAAATTCACTAGTCTGTTTTGCGTTTGTAAACTTTCATGGGAGACGGTTATTTTGCGCCCTGTGCAAAAAAAAAAGGTTTCAGTGCTCTTTTCTTATGAAAATTTACATAGGTGTAAAGAAAATTGGTACCTAATAACAAAAGTAAAAGACAAATTAGTCCTGTCCGTTTCACATCTCTACCTAATATTAAAGGGCTGTGTCTCTCTCGACACTGTCACATCTCTAACTTAATATCTGTCTCTGCCTAATATTAAAGGGAGCTGTCTGTGTCGACACATGACCATGATATTTAGACCAAATTTAGCAGTACTGACATTTGGGACCAGGAAAGTGGCAGTTTTCAAAATGTTTTTCCAGCTGGTATGATTTAATTTAATTTCTTTGAAACCATTTGCAGCAGCAATTTTATATGAGTAAGACACAAACTGTCACATGAAACCTTTCTCCTCATTCACCTCACAAACCTCGGCCAATTCTAAGATTGATGAATTTGGGCTGCTGTTTACCAGCATCAATTGGACAGCAGCAAGGTCCTCTTCAAGGTCGTTTCTGGCGCACCGACCGCACAGCCGATTTTGCCGAGCAAGGCCCTCTTCAAGGTCGTTTCTGGTGCACCCAGCCACATTTCAGGCTCTACAATAACAGTTCTTCTCAGTGACAGGGTGAAAAGGCTCGGTGTCAATGTTGTTGTGGGCATTTACCTGAAATTGTCAGAGGAGTTTGCAGAAGACAGATTTCACACCACTGGGTTGTCGGAACTTAGAATACATAAACTGCTTGTGCTCAGTTCAATATGAGAATCAATTCTTGACGAATTTTAGTCCTGCACTTTGTGTTTAGAAGGAACTGCATTATTGTTATGTATGATGTTCATAATTTATATGACAGCATCCATCATGTATGCTTTGCTCTAGGTTCTTCTATTGCAGTGGTATGCTTATTTGTTGCTTTCTTGATATCTTTTTTCCTGGAATTGTAAGTCGATTTATGTGGTCATCGAATTGTTTTTGTAGGCAATAGATTATAGACTTACTTCGGATTGGTATGAGATATCTGTGTTTTGATTCTGATCCTATATATGTCTCAAAAATGTGACTCAACTTATAAAATGAGTCCCATTGTACTATTGTATATAACATTGCATATTATACCTGGCATCTAGCACTCACACAAAAAAAGCTACATCTAAGTGAGCTGACGCACAAGAGCAACCTCATATAACTTAACTATGATCACATGTCATGGAAGAACTTGTAGGTCTTGACATCGAGCGCAATTGCTCTGATGGCGCCAATGCATGCAAGAACCCCGATGACAGAGAACAAGACGGCGCCGGCGCAGCAAAGGGCCTTGACAGTACGCCGCAGTCCCAGGTTCTTGGGCAGCTTCCCAGCCTTGAGAAATGCCAATGCTGGCAGCACAAAGTCCAGTGGGGTGAACCCAACCGCTCCACAAACTGATACAAAGTCCCCAAAGAATGGCATTGCGGCGGCAACGAGGGTGATCGTCGCCATGTATGCAGAGGTGTACATCAGTCGCCACAGCCATGCTCTGTGCATCATATTCTTTGCCTGAATGCGCTCTTCAAAGTGCGCATATGTCGGCCTGCAGTATATCTTTGTGAAGAAGAAGTAGAGTTAGTTACTGGATGGTTGCCAAGAAATTCCTGATGAAAGTAGGAGGTTTGGCATAAGTTACAGTTACCTGAAAGCAACCTGTGATCTGAACAACTGCAAATATGTTTGCCATTACAATTGCCCATCTTGGAACAGTCAGAGAGGACAAGATGTATGGCTGGACTCCGGAGCCGAATGCCCAATAGCCACTGAATGCCAGTGTCCAGTAGGACATGACGATCAATGTGTACGCCGTCGAAACACCCTTGTACATGTTTGTCGTCGCCGGTTCTCGCACGGTGCTCTGCATTTCAGCCAGTTTTACGCAAAGAATGGTTGATTGCACACTTAATTCATCAATATATCAACTGAATCTCAGGTGGGCACCTGGATTTCTGGCAGCATTGCATCACCAAATGAGAAGGCTATTGTGCCCAGTGCATTGAAACCTCTGAAGACCTTGGTTGCGGTGCTTCCTTGCAGACTGTAACCAACATCATTTCGGTTAATCCGATATCCTGCGGTAGAGCATGCTGTCAGATTTTTTCATATATTCAGCAATTTTAGTACTTTATGCAGAATGAAAATTTACTGAATTTTACCGTCATATATCGTGACACCGATGGCTGTCCCAGCAAACCCAATGGTGGAGGCAGTGCAGGTAGCATTCACCCACCGGAGCGAATGGATGTCGGGAAGCTGGGAGAGAAGCAGCTCGAGCGCGCCGAAGAGGAGGATGAAGTGCTGCAGCGTCATCGCGCCATGGTCGGTGGCATAGTAGTGCTTGTACACGGCCTGAGGCTGCTGCTGGCCGCAATCTGGATCGCAATGTTGTTGCCAACCGACGCCACTTGCTGGAAGAATGACACATACCAGTAGCCCCAGGGACCTTCAACAAAGTACAGAGTCACTCTCAAGGTAATTTTTCACAAACTATTGTGCTGTTAACAGTGGATGTTGAATCATAAGTGCACCATTGATTTGAATTACAGTTAAATGATCAAAAGAACATTTCTCTCAGTAACTTCCTTTTACAACAATAAAAAAAGTTACAGCATCGTCAGATGGTAAGAACTAGTACTATTTGTTGGAAGAAAAAATTGCACTGACCAAATATGCTTTGTGCAAGCAGCCGGTAGCTGGTGTGCTTCTCTCCGTTCCACTGCCACAGCGAGGCAACGGCCAAGCTAGAACACCAGGTGACCAGTGTCCCTATGACCAAGCTGCAAACACCTGTGGGAAAAACAGAGCTGCTAATTCACCGGATCCATAGAAAACCAACTAGAGAATTTACATCATATGGTAAATAAACAGTATGGCGCTGCTAACCCAGAGGCCAGCCCAGGGACGCGAGGGCAAAGGGCAGGGGAGCGTGTAAAGTAGTTTGGGAAGCGTAGAACCCTTTGTCTCGGGCCGCATTGTATATATTGAGGCAAAGCCTTGATTGACAAGTTACAGAGGAGGAGATCCACCAGGAGGCAATCGACCAACAGAAAGAGATCGACCACGTAAGTCGTTACAAGGGATAGAGAGAAGAATAGATAGATACAGTTTAAACACTCCTCCTATCCCTATACAATAATTCTAACACTCCCCCTCAATCTAAACCTCAAGCCTTGCTAAGGTTGAGATTGTATTTGAACTCATCTAATCTTCTTACTGTCAAGGGTTTAGTAAACCCATCTGCAAGTTGATCCCCTGTAGGGATGAACCGTATCTCAAGTAGCTTGCGAGCCACTCTCTCTCTGACAAAATGAAAGTCCACTTCAATGTGTTTTGTTCGTGCATGGAAGACAGGATTTGCTGAAAGGTACGTTGCACCAATATTGTCACACCATAACCGTGCAGCCTTCGGAGCTTTAATTCCAAGCTCATAGAGTAATGTTTGTATCCACATTACTTCAGCTGTGGCATTTGCTAATGATTTATATTCAGCTTCTGTGCTTGATCTTGAGACAGTAGCTTGCTTCCTTGCACTCCAAGACACAAGATTAGATCCCAGAAATACAGCAAAACCACCAGTGGATCTTCTGTCATCAGCACACCCTGCCCAGTCTGCATCAGAATATGCAGTAACAAGCAAGGAAGAGGACTTGACAATTTGAAGTCCAAGTCCTTGAGAATACTGAAGATACCTTAGAATTCTCTTGACTGTTGTCCAATGAGTAGTTCTAGGAGCATGCAAATATTGACATACCTTGTTCACTGAATAAGAAATATCTGGACGTGTAAGTGTTAAATATTGCAAAGCACCAACAACACTTCTGTAATTTGTTGCATCTTCTGGACCAAGAGCTTCTCCACTATCAACAGTAAGTTTTTCTGAGGTGGAAATTGGTGTGCTGACAGGTTTACAGTTCTCCAATCCCACCCTCTTTAGAACATCAGCAGTGTATTTTTCTTGTGAGAGAAGTATGCCATCTCTAACTTGTTTTACCTCAATGCCAAGAAAATAGTGAAGATCACCTAGATCCTTGAGAGCAAATTCAAGTTTTAAATCCTTAAGCAAACAAGTAGTGGCCTCTTGACTTGAACTAGCAACAATTATATCATCAACATAAACAAGCACAAAAGCAGTGATATTGCCTTTGCTATAAAAGAACAAGGATGTATCTGCTTTGGATGGTGTGAACCCAAGACGTTGTAACTGCATGCTCAGCCTAGAATACCATGCTCTTGGAGCCTGCTTAAGTCCATATAATGCTTTATCCAACTTACATACATAATGTGGTGTGCTATGACTTTCTTAACCTGGTGGTTGCCGCATGAACACTTCTTCCTCAAGAACACCATGAAGGAACGCGTTCTGAACATCTAGCTGTCGTAAGCTCCATCCTCTGGAAATGGCAATGGACAAAACAAGGCGAATGGTAGTTGCTTTAATTACAGGACTAAAGGTATCATCATAATCAATTCCAAACCTTTGCTTAAAGCCTTTTACAACCAACCTTGCCTTGTACCTGTCTATACTACCATCAGATTTCCTTTTTATCTTATATACCCACTTACAATCAATTATGTTAGCACCACGTTGCGGTGGTACTAAGTGCCAGGTCTGATTCTTTATGAGTGCATTGTACTCATTATCCATAGCTTCCTTCCAATCCTTGCTAGCAAGTGCATCATGCAAATTAATAGGTTCACCAGTAGTGGCAAGAAAAGCACGCTTAGTCGGATTATACTTTATTGTACCATCACTATATTGCTTTTCCTTGACAATACCTGACCGAGACCTGGTGTGTCGACGAGGAGGCGAAGGAGCCACAAAACCGGTTGCTGCAGACTGCGGCACAGGAGATCCACCAGCGTCGGCGTCATTCACAGAAGATCCAGCATGATGGATCGGCTCCTGATCCGAGGAGGATGCGGGCTGCTCCTCGTTCTGGCAGCGGATCCGATCGGCCGACGTGGTAGACGGGGAGTCGCTCCCCCCCCCCACGCCGCGTGCGATAGCCGTATCAGACTGCACGAGCGAGGATTGGCGAGGCGTGCCGGAATGGGTGCCAGGGCCCACGCCTGCACCTGGTCCGCTGGGGCCCACCCGATCGGTTTGGCGCGACTCGCCTGGACCCGCGCCAGGGCCCGCGCCTGGACCCGCGTGACCCACCTGGTCGGCTTGGCGTGGCGCGTCTGGAGCCGCCCCTGGATCCGTGCCTGGGCCGCTATCGCTGTCGCCTACCAGGGGCAGATCTGCACCGGACCGCGAGCTGCCCAGCTCTGCATGCTGCCGCGGATCTGCCTGGGATCGCGCGCCGCCCTGCTCTGTAGGCTGCTGCGGATCATCCTCGAAGACTGCGCCTTTGTCATGTGTGCACATAAAATGACAACCAGAATCTGTTGTGGATTTTTGCACATGATCATGATCATTTAATTCACCCCCGTGATCAGGATGAATAGAATAGTCTGGTAGGAGTGCAATTTCTGCACGAAGCAAGGCGCCAGCATTGGGATGAAGAAGGGGAAAAGGGAACAATGTTTCATCAAAGATAACATCACGGGAGATATAGATGCGTCCAGTAGATGGTTCAAGACATTTATACCCTTTATGAAGGTTACTATACCCAAGAAACACACATTGTGTGGAGCGAAACTCTAATTTGTGACGATTGTATGGACGTAGGTTGGGGTAACATGCACACCCAAATTTTTTTAGAGAGTTGTAGTCTGGCTTTTGGTGATACAATCGTTCTAAAGGAGTTGAATTGCCAATGACCTTACTGGGAAGACGGTTGATAAGATATGTAGCTGTGATAAAAGCCTCATCCCAATACTTGAGGGGCATAGATGCATGAGCTAAAAGAGAAAGACCAACTTCGACAATATGACGGTGTTTGCGTTCAGCAGAACCGTTTTGCTGATGAGCATGAGGGCAAGACACATAATGAGTGATTCCAATGCTACGGAAGAAGGAGTTGAGCTTTTCATACTCCCCTCCCCAGTCACTTTGGACTGAAATAATTTTCCTGTCAAAGTGGAGCTCAACTAGCTTCTGAAACTCTTGGAAGATGGAAAAAACTTCAGATTTATACTTAAGCAAATAAATCCATGTGAACTTGCTGTAATCATCAATGAAGCTAACATAATATTTTTTTTCGACCAAAAGAATCTCGAGCATGACCCCATACATCACTGAAGATTAATTGTAATGGGGCATGAGACACACTAGTAGACTTAGGATAGGGAAGCTGATGGCTCTTGGCACATTGACATGCTTCACAAACAGACTCATTGTTTGAACTATGTGACAAAGGAAGTTTGTCTTTATTGACTACTTGCCTAACTATGACTGATGAGGGATGTCCTAATCTTTGATGCCACCGCTCGAAGGAGGGCTTGACGGCGGAATAGACGCGACGATGCTTGTTGTTAAAAACTCCGGAGGAGATGGGGTAGAGGCCGCCGACGCATCTACCGGGATAGAGAGGTGCCCTCGTTGCCCGATCCTTAATGAAAAAATAACGAGGGTGAGTTTCAAAGAAAACATCATTATCGGTGGCTAAACGAGACATCGAGGCAAGATTTTTGTCATCTTGAGGAACATGAAGAACATCCTTAAGAACAAGATCACGTTGAAGACTAGGGAAATTAAGTGAAACTTGACCAATGTGACAAATTTCCATACCTTTACTGCTAGCGGTGTGGATCTAATCGTTGCCGTGGTACGTCTCCCGTAGGGCCAGTTGCTCTAACTCATTTGTGACGTGATCGGTAGCACCGGAGTCAACGTACCAGACACTGTCCCTGCCTTGCTCGCGCATAGCTTCTGCAACTAGTTTGGAATCAGGAACGTAGTTTTCATCATACCAATGCCAGCAATCGATGACCTCATGGCTAGCCTTCTTGCAGAGTTGACACCGAGGGCGAGGCCGCGAGGGGGGGTTGCGGCGGCCAGTGTTGGAGTTGAAGCCGCCACCCCCGTGGTTGTTGCCGTAGCCGCCGTCGTAGTTGTTGTTGCCATAGCCGCCACCAGAGCGGGCACCGTCGCCCGAGGAGGCACTACGGCCGCGTCCGCCACCACGGTTGGTGCCCTGGTGACCACGGCCACGGCCACGTCCCCTGGAGGCGGAGTATGCAGAGGATTGCCGAAGATCGCCGCCGTGGAGGAGGGTGAGGCGGGCGTCGAAGCTGAGCAGCTGGCTGTGCAACTCTGGAACCGTGATGGGTTCCACGCGAGCCGCCAGCGCAGAGACGACTGGATTATATTCCATGTCGAGGCCGGCAAGGATCTTGGAGACGATCTCTGGATCGGAGAGGGCCGAGGCGGTGCAGGCAACTTCATCGGTGAGGGTTTTGATCTTGCCGAGGTACTCTGCCATGGTCAAGTTACCTTTTTTAAGGTTGGTGAGCTCGATGCGGGTGTTGATCGCATGCGCCTTGCTCTGGGCGATGAACATGGTGTTGATGGCGCGCCACACCTCGGCCGGCGTCTGGAGCGTGGCCACCTGGGACAGAATCTCGCGGGAAAAGGAACCCATCAAGAACCCTTGGAGTTGTTGTTGTTGCGCATACCAGAGGGTGCGGGCGAAGTTGGCGACTTGCTCTTCTTTGCCCTCCTTGGTGATGGTGAGGGTAGCCGGCAGTGGCGGGCTCGTGGGGTCAAGGTGGTGCTCCATCTGAGCACCCTTGATCTGAGGAAGCACGATGGCTTTCCAGAGGAGGAAGTTCCCCCTTGTCAGCTTCTCCTGTGGTGGCGATCCGAGGAAGGTGGTGGTAGCTGTGGATGATGAAGCAAAGGTGGAGGCGGAGGAGGCGGTGGTGATCGCGCCCATGGTGCTAGGTGACATGGAGGCGGAGGTGGTGGACATGACTCGGTCGCGAACGGTAGCTAGATGCGATCTCTCTTGATCTGATGAGGAAGAGGCTCTGTTACCATGTAAAGTAGTTTGGGAAGCGTAGAACCCTTTGTCTCGGGCCGCATTGTATATATTGAGGCAAAGCCTTGATTGACAAGTTACAGAGGAGGAGATCCACCAGGAGGCGATCGACCAACAGAAAGAGATCGACCACGTAGGTCGTTACAAGGGATTGAGAGAAGAATAGATAGATACAGTTTAAACACTCCTCCTATCCCTATACAATAATTCTAACAGAGCGTAGGCTGCCGGCGTGGCAATCGTCGTCGCCACGTGGAACGCCGCGTGCCTCCACGTGCCCTTCCCTCCCTCCGCGGCGCCGACGATCTCGTCCTGGTCCTTCTGGGCACCACCACTCGCCGTCGCCGGTGACATGCCCACTGCTGCTACTTCTCTTCACTCGACTTGAGTAAGAAGAACTTGAGACTCCTATCTTGTGTTGACCCAGGCGATGCAGAGCAGAAGCGGAGAAAGATGGGCTCGTCTCATATTGGAGTAGTGTGGAAATGGAATACATGCTTTGAAATGGGAAAACAAAAACCAACCGCTTCTTTCCAAGCATATGCAATTCTTTTGTGAGGAAAGTTAGAGCCATATTATGACTAAGGACTAAACAAAGATAATAATATTACTAACTATAAAGTGTTAGTGGTGAGTGGTGACCATGTCAAGGTAGGGTTTCAAAGCAGCAATTAAATTCCACAGGACCAGTAAGCATAACAAGGACAGCCTCTGCTTCACAGAGGTAATTTTTTTTTAGTGGTAGTGGTGAGTGGTGACCATGTCAAGGTAGGGTTTCAAAGCTAATAATAATATTACTAACTATAAAGTGTTAGTGGTGAGTGGTGACCATGTCAAGGTAGGGTTTCAAAGCAGCAATTAAATTCCACAGGACCAGTAAGCATAACAAGGACAGCCTCTGCTTCACAGAGGTAATTTTTTTTTCTTGTGACTATTTACTGTAGAGCGACAGCCCCACAGTCCTTTTATTCCAGAAACTTTTGCCCAAGCCTGTTTAAATCCGCTCCCACCGGGAGTCGAACCCAGGATCTAGGGTGCTACTAAGGTCGCTGCAACCACTAGGCTATAGGCCCGTTCGCAGAGGTAATTGTGCACAAGGATGACGCTAGCAAGGAGCTTCTTGAGTGGGGATCTAGGGTTTCTGCCGCGAATAGCCGCCTGCCGAATCCCCAGTGAACACACCAGGTTTCCAGAAGATCATCTTCCAGCTTAATGAGGTGAGGTCATCTGAAAACTCTGAATAGGAGATGTTACCGATCTCTGAATAAATCGTCCATGTGAGCCCACTGCTGTTGCAAGCGCTCATGGTTACTGTGCATAGATGGTTTCAGTTGTTCAGGAACTGCTACTTGTCTTGTGTATTACTTCAATAAATCTGATATGGAATCCACTCCTCCCGGGTCGCCCCCGCTCGGGCGGCTCCGGAGGCTCCCCAAACCCCAGCCAAAAAGCACCCCAGTGCTAGAGATCTCCAGCCGCTGCCGCCGCCGATCTCGGCTGCGGTGGCGGCGCCCTGCCCGTCAAAGACGGAGGGCTGAGGGCGGGCCAGGGGGGCAGGGACGCTCGTCTCAGTCGCCAGTCGCGCGGAACAGAGCTGCGCCTGGCGGCGGGGCCCTAGGAGCGGTGGGGCGTCGTCGGCATGGAAGAGCATGGCTAGGCAGAGGGGCTGCGACACCAAGAACACCGGCGGCGACGCCCTGGATCTGGGCACGAGGCGGCGCATCTGGGCCTGATTGGTCCCGATCTGGGCTCAGCGGGCCCGCTCGTCCAGGATGTCGACCGAGCTTTGCCGCTGCTCGGCAGGGCACGCTCGGCGCAGGTGGTGGTGGTGCTACCTCGAGGGAGCAGAGCTTTCGAGGTGGTGGTGGTCGGTGGGGAGAGGAATGGCGCCACCGTCTGGTGGTCGTTGCATCCTCCGGTTGTTAGGCCGGCACGGCGTGCTGTGGCAGGTGATGACACGAGGGAATGGTGGCCGGCGGGTGACGAATGGCGCCATCGATGGGCGTTGCATCCTCCCGTCCGATGCGGGGAAGCGGAAGTAGGATTGGCAGCACGTTGGTCTGTCGTGGGTGTTGCTTGAGGTGCCCATCGTCCCCCTGCCGGTGGCATGGTCTGTGTGTGGCCTATCGTCGGTGGTGTGCTCTCGCTGTTGGCTCTCAATGGCCTGTGTGTGGACTGTGGGGATGATGTTGGGCTGGGAGAAATCCCGTGCTGTTGCGGACAACGGCGACGCTCCCCGGCGCCGTCACCTTCTTGAAGGCGTCGTTTAGGCCCTTATCACCCCCCACCTGTGCAACGGGGGAAACCCCAGATCCATCTTGCTGGTTCAGGCAGTGGCGGTGCTTTGGCGTCGTTACCTTCTTGGAGGCACTGTTCGGGTTGCTGGAGTCCTACGACAGTGCTTGCTGCTAGGGTTGGCCTCCACTTGGAGCGTGGGCCCCTAGGGCGCAATGTACACTGATGCGGCATCTCTTCCACGACGCTCTCCTCGGGTCCAGTCGGGTCCTGCTGTCCACTCGCCACTCTCCTCTCGGCGTAAGGGTGGGCTGTACGTTGACACGTGCTTGCCTTGAGTTTGGGTTGTACTTCGAGTTGTTTGCTTCGGTTGTGGCTCGGTTGTGAAGCGGTCTTGTGGCTCTGTGTCCTGACGTCTCGCCATCTTGGCAGGGGTAGGCAAGGCGTGCCCTTGTTGTTGTGCGTGTGGTTGTACGTTGTAAGCCGATTGGCATCACTTGTACGATTTTTTGGTCTGGTTTCCCTCATAAACTGGATCAACCTTCTATCTATTCAATGAATTTAGCAGTGATCCTGCTAACATTCAAAAAAAAATGATATGGACGTTTTCTTGGTCGTCGTACGGACATGGTCTCAACTCGCAACTGTATACATCTAGGCATCTAGCTGGTCTCATACAGAAGTTTCAGGCTTGCTCTGTTTCTCAAAAGCAAAATGCAGAGGCCGGGGGTACAACTAGGGGTGCAGGGCGGCGCCCGATCCGCCCCGCTTCGTACGCAAAATATGTTTCGGTTAGTTATAAGTACTCCTTTCAGATTTAGTTCAATTTGAACTAATCCTCTATTTATGCGGGACTATGCGGGATGCCTGCTTGCATCCCTAGGTACAACCTTCTTTTTGTAAGAATAAGAAAGTTGTGCTTTTAGAATCTGAAGAAGATTGTTTTTTGTGCGTGTGTGCAAGAGAGGCTGAAGAAGATTGAATTGTGGTAAAGTAGCGTCAGCATAAGGGAGTAATTCAATGGTGCCCAAGAATATTTTTATTGTAGCTATGAAAGAACCAAGCCGAGAAGAAGTTGCAAGCCCTTATGAGAGAGGAGGAGATGAAATGGGCGCTTAGAGCAAAGGTTTCTAAGATCGTCCAAGGGGATAATAATACACAATTCTTCCACATGATTGCTAATGGGAAGTATACAAAGAAAAAGATAATACAGGTAGAACAAGATGAGGGTACAATTATAGGACATGAGAACCTAAAATTATACATTTCTGAATATTATAAGAAACTTTTCGGAGCACCCGAAGAAAGTTTCGTATCTCTATATGGGAGTGTGATCGGGGACATACTGCAACTCAACTTAGAAGAGAATGAGGTGTTGTCTTCCCCGTTCACTCAGAAAGAGGTGTTCGATGATATAACACAAATGAAACATAATAAGCGTAAGGCTAGATGGGTTCCTGTCGGAATTTTATCAAAAATGCTGGCATATCATAAAGAGAGATCTTATGCCTATGTTCCATGATTTGTTCGAAGGCCACTTAAATTTGTTTCACCTCATTTTTGGAACAATAACGTTGTTGCCAAAGAAAGTGGAAGATGTTCGCATTGAGCAGTTTAGACCTGTTAGGGCATGTCTCTCTCTAAGTAGTTTTGGTGACTGATGACAATGGATTTGCGGACTAATCGTGTGCATTGAGCTTTCAGATATTTATTCATTGGCACAAGACGATTCTTTCCCCTCGGTGTTTAAGGAGAAGACGATGTGTTTCCTTCGTTTCAGTTTTGGTGGACTTGAGTCGTAGGAAACACCGTACTATCAAGAGGGGGTTCGTATTGGAAAGGTTAGGGTGAAATCAACACGTACACGTCCCCTTTGCACCCCCCAACTCTTTCCCGCATCTTTGGAGGATCCTTCATTGTCTTGGAAGTGGGCTTGATAGTGATACAACGGTAGTACCTTGGCGCCGAGCGGCAGTACCGCCCAGAGCCACAGGCAGCAGTATCGTTGTTTATCAGCGATAGTACCGCTTGGGGGTCTCGGCAGTAGTACTGCTTCGGTGTCGTGCTACTACTACCTCGATTTGAGAGCGTCGCTTCTCGTGTCGGGTTGTGCGGTAGTAGGAGCGGCAGTGGCGACGCTAGTATTGCTTACGAACGGTAGTACCGCCCGACTACCGCTGCTAGTGTCTCCCGGGGTCTCGCTCTCGTGCCCCTTCTCCCTCTAAGGCCCATGCTCACAGTCTTCACGGTAGTACCGCTAGGGCTCGCGGTAGTACCGCTCTATGCGGGTTGAAGAGAGGATAACAGTTGGATTTGATTCCCCACTATAAAAGGAGGTCTTCTTCCCCAAGAAGACCTACCTCTTTTCCCCTAAGCTAATCACCACCAACACTAGCTAATAATAATCATCATAGTCATCACCACCAACACTCATTCTAGCTAGCTAATCACTCCTACTTCTCTCTCTCAGGTAAAATAGCATGCAGATGATTCATCATATTGAAGCATGCAGATGAACATGTCTCCTCATTGTGGGTTGCGCTTCCACTAGTGCAGAACCGACCTTTAGTGCCGGTTCGTGACGGCCTTTAGTGCCGGTTCGCCAACCGACACTAAAGAGTGGGGACTAAAGCCCCCCCCCTTTAGTACCGGTTCATCACGAACCGGCGCTAAAGTGCCACCACGTGGCACGAGCCAGGCCCGGGTGCGCATAGGTCTTTATTACCGATTGGTAACACCAACTGGTACTAAATGTTTGGGTGTTTTTTTATTTTTCCTTTAATTTTGTGTTTTTAATTTAATTTAGTGATTGTTTTACATTATAATGAGTTGTTAAATCCATATCCATATTATACTTGATCACCTAAGGTGATCAAGTATAATATATATGGATATGGCATATATACTTGATCACTTAGGTAGGATCCATCCAACTGAAACTAATCTGCGGTTTCTTTCATTAAATGATATAATAACTCATCATCATATCATCATATTAATATAAAAACTCTTGCATCATATCATCAACATGAGTATATATATACTCTAGCTAGCTAGCTAAAAATCATCGTAGTCGTCATTATCACTATTTAATCATCATAGTCATTACCGCTATCTAA